ATAATTATTTTGTGAAGAATTTTGTATTTTGCTTCGTTCTGGTGATCTTCCTCTATAACTTGAGTTATATGGTGATTGATTCCTTGTGTAATTGGTGTTGTTCGGAGTTGGTATTCCTGAACTGTTATTATTATATATATTTTTGTTTGGTAGATTTTGATCTTTTTTCATATATTGATAGAACGATTTATTTGGTTCTTTATGCTTTTGAGGTTTATTCTGATTATCTTGTTGTTTTTGTCTACGTCCGTATCGTCGGCAATAATTACACCATTTTTTGAAGGATGGTTTGCATATAAAATTTGGATGTTTTTCATAGATATTTAGTATTTCAGTGATTTTTTCAATTAGGTCTGTATCTGATTCCTGTATGTTATTTATATGTGTAGTGTTTGTTTCAATTCGATTAACATATTGTAGTTTTAGATTTTCTGTTTCTTCAAGTTTCATTGTGATTTCCGCTTGCTCTAGTTTATCTACTAGTTTTCGAAAATCTAAATCTGGCTCTCGAATTGAGGAAGGATGAGATGCTCTCTTTTTTATTGCTATTTTCCTTAATTGAGGTATTAAGGTCATCATTAAAATTTCTGTCATTTTTGTGTTTTTATGGTCATGTGTATTAAGTGAATATGCTTTTCGAACTAGTGTTTCGATGCGTACTGCTAATTGTTTGATAGTTTCATTTGGTAATCTGCGAATTTCATTACATAAAACTCTTTGGTGTTGTTTATTTCTTTCCGAGTCAAACATTTTCTAAAATTCTTGTGTGAATCTTTTCCAGTCTGATTTTATTTCTATAGGTAATACTGAAAACCATTTTTGAGCTGCGCCATCTGGGGTTGTTTGTATTAGTGCTGTGCGTCAATTTTGATGTAGTGGCGTATTAATAGGTTCAGGTCCTATATTTAAATTTAAATTTGCTGTTACTGCATTTAAATAATCTTCTACAGAATTTTCAGGGTCTGTTCCTGTAAATACCATCAGTGGTTTATTGGATGTTATTGATGATCCACCCATGAGGTATGGACTCATTGTCATCTGTAGTGATTCTGCGGCATTTGGCATTTGCGAAAAATTTGAAAGTTGATTTTTTGTTATTTCGTGTTGCTGAAGCTAATATGGAAGCGGTATTTCATTTTGCATTTGAGTTGGTTGATAAGAATGCATTGACATTGGATTTTGTGGTTGTATTGGTTGAAAAAATTGTGTGTTAAGTGGATTTTGTATATGCATTTGTTGTGGATGTTGTACATCTGTTGGGTTTTGTGGGTAAATTTTCATATTTCGAGATGGTTGAGGTTGTCGTCGTCTTTGTGTGCGATATTCTTTAGTATATGGTGCAATAATATCTGGTTGGTGATAATCATCTTCATCGGATGATAAATAGTTTGTATTAAATGGTGTATGTTGGTTATTTTTGTTTTGTTGGAAGAAAGGGTAATTTTCAGTATAATCCTGTGTAGGTTATGGATTATCTGGGAAATTTACTGAATTTGTCGATGTTTTCGGGAGATTCCAATAATGAGAACATACGTGATTTAAATTTTGTGTAATTTTTCGGGGAGGTTGATTTGTTCTTTGTTTGTGAGCATAATTATAATTATGTTCTGCAAAGGTGTTTCTGGTGAATGATTTTCGTGTTTTTGACGGTATTGTCATTGGTCTATATGTTTGATAATCCATATGTGAATATTTTGGAGCAACCGAAGGTTTAACGGTTGATTGTAAGGTTACTTGTGCCAGTGAAGTATTTGTATTACTTGGTGTTGTTAAGTTTGGGTGTATTGGTGAAATACTTTGTTGTGTAGTTGTTGTTGTTTGGACAATTTCTTCATTTATGAAGTGTGATGGTGTTTGAATATCTTGTTGTGTAAGATTTCTAGTTCCATTAAGGTTTTCATTGTGTATGACGGTCGAATTTAAACTGTTATTTCGTGTATCAGGTAAAATATATTGTAGTTTAATGGTGTTGCATCAATAGTTAATGGTTTTACTTTTACATAATCTCTGTGATAAGATATTGTACTTATTGCTTGACGTGAGATAGATTGTGGGATATTTATAAATGTAGGATGAGACCATTCAGGGTCCCAAACATAGTCTGATTGTTCTGTAATGGCAGTGTCATCATTTGAATTTTGAGGTCTGAAGTTTTTTCTTGCTTGTGAAATTAAGTCTAAATTATGTGTGAAATAATCTATTATAAGCCATGCCAAAACTTTTTGTAAGTCATGTTTAGTGTGTTGTGAAACATCATCTTTTGTGAAATTTTCTTTGATTATATGTAGAAAAGTTGAAAATAATGCAATTTCATTTCGTACTTTTGTATGTTTGGATGTTTCAGTTGGTGAGATACTTTGAAATTCTGTTTTTTCTAATATAGAGATATAGGTATATATTATTGCAAAAACTTCATTAGTGAATATAGAGTTTGCTCTTTGTGAATTATGATATTGTATGCTTTTGATATATTCTAGGAATACTTTTGAAAATTCTAATTCAAGATCATCTGTTTGAATTACATATTTACGATGATTCGTATTTGGTGTGCTGAATTCTATGGTGTAGATTCCATATTGTTGTGTTAAGTTACATATATCTTTCAAATAAAGTTCAATAAATTGTCTTTTCATTTTTACATCTGGGAATTCTGCTTTGCATGGACTGATTCCGGGTTCAAACAAATTTACGAGTAAATTCTTGCAAAAACCATGTTGCCCTCTATCATCGGGTGAATCTATGAGGAAGGGGTAAACCTCTTCGTCATCTGGACTATCGTCACTTTGAGTGTGGCTCATTTTTTCGTTTGATGACTGTTAATATATAGCTATCAATGTGTCTAATTGGTTGATTCCAGTTATACAGGTGTACTGGTTTGTGTTTGTATTACTTTTTTATTCTTCTTTTTCCTCTTTTTAATGAATTTGCAGTTGTTTCTGAATCGGAAAAATATAATTGATCGTGAATGGGACAATTTTTATCAATCGATTCTTTTAATTTGTAGAGTTCATCTAAACTGCTGGCTGCTGATTCAGAAAATGCGTTTTTTTTTTAAATCTTTTTCGTGTGATTTGTCTTTGTTTGCTTATAATTTTTCTTTTTATTGTTTGTCGTTTTGTTGTAATGTATCCAACTGTTTGTGTATTACAAGATCGTATTTTTTTTTATCTATTTCACAGTTGTGTAAAACTATTGTTTACTTATTTCCTAGATTTTTGAATGATATAAGGTTTAGGATGAGGGATGCAAAAAGTTGTTAGGTATTTCTATTTTCTTAGACTGTCGATTTTTTGGACTGTAGTCCTGACAATTTGTTGGTTAGCTTAACCTGGGTTTTTTTATTTAGGGTTGGAGAGAAAAGTATATCGATTCCGAGGAATGATTTTTTACTTTCTCGTGGCTAGTCTAAGCTAAGGTGTTAACTTACTTAATCTTACTTAGGGGTAGTGATTGTGTTCAAGGGTTGGAGAATAGTAAATCGATCCACAAGGTTCAGGTATAATTAGAACACAAGTAGTTTGTTAGATACTATTTTAAACTTACTAAGTCTAAGATCTATCCTGGGTCTGGTAAGAGGAGGGTTCAAGTGAAGGATGAATAACCGAAGTTCTTCACTGTTTATCCTAATTTGAATGGTTAGTTTTATTTAAAAATTGCTATTAGCCTTGGGTCGTTTAGAAGGGTTGGATAGTGAATCGACGTTTGAGGTGGTTAGGCACTTGCTAAGTGGGTTGGGGAGAACAAAATTGTTCTTTTTGATCCAAGGATAAGCCTTGATGATCTGATTTTAAAATTAAGTGAATTTAAGTTTAAAATGGTTTAAATTTATTTAAGAAAAAGATTTAGTATTTTAATGATATTAGTGAGCTTATAATTGCTGTTATGTTTAGGTGATGAAGCTGGGACAACAGATGATTTATGATTACTAACTATTTTTTGTCATGCTACTAATTTTTATTTTCATTTTCAATAAATATTTTTCAAATATATTTTATATAAGACTGCAGAAATTAAGAAAACGATCTGAGATCTTTTTATCAATCGTTATTGTACATTAATAATTTTGTTTAGCGCCTGAAATGATCATGAAGATTGACTTCAAAATTTTATGTTTGCAAATGAAAATCTAAATTCATTGCTAATAAGATTCTAAATACAAAAGTTTGTGTTGGCTTTTGCCGTACAATCATAAAACTAAATGGTAAAATTCTACTTTGTCGTATGTCGTCTTTTGTTCGAGGTCTTCTTCCAATTCCGGGTAGTTCTATTATTGTTCGGAATATCGGCTCTGATCTATTGAGTCGTAGAGACATTTCGATTAAATTATTATCGTATTAACATTTTGAAAAGGTTTTGTCTAAATTCTAATCTATTTTTGGTTAGTTCTAAGCTATTAAGGTCTTATTCGAGACTTATGGTCGCACCAGATGAGTTAGAACCGATGTGGTTAACTCATAGAATAATTTCGGATAGGGTACACCGTCTGCTCGTCACGCTATCTTATTTTCGGCCGGATAGATTCGTGCAACTTCTTAGTCAAATACCGATCCTAATCTTACTCTTATATTTTCTAGTCTCAGGGTGTTTAACTAGTCTCTGCTAGGCTCAATAGATCTAGGGTATACTGGTTTATTGCGGCAGCTGAAGTTCTCTTGGAGAGGCAACTAATTTCTAAGTTAAATTCAAATCTCTCTGGTGCTGAAATTACAAGTAATTTCAGCACTTACAAATAAGTGGGTTGTTAGTTAGATGGTTTATGATTGGTTAATATTAAATCCTTTACAGTGGTAAAATATCCAATTTATCCAATCATAAAATATAGTTTAGATCAGGTTCCAAAAGTATAAGGACAAAACTTTATGATCGTTTTTTGTCGGAGATTGAGCCTATACAAACAAACTAAAGCGGTCAAAGAAGCTGTAGTCAGCTGGCGTTATTTCATAACTCTTGAATTAGCAAGAAAACAGAAATTTAGTGAAATTTGTTAGAATTAGAATGACCTGGGGCGAGGTGTAGATGAGTTTTAGTTCAGAGAGAGGGTCTTCCGGGTCATACATATGGTCACTGATCTTGGTGCCATACTCCTCATACGTTGTGGACGCTATCACCAGTTTCTGGAAACAAAACCAAATCAAGCATTCACGAATGAGTTCTGCAATCGTCGCAGCTGTTATTTACGCTCAGAGCAGAAGCCAATCGTAAAACCATATATCGCGAGGACCTCTTTACTTCCAAATAGAATTGGACCATGTTATTTCCAGATAGAGGTCGTTAGGTCCACGTTTATCAAATAGAAAAGGCCGCATTGTGTGCAGCGAAGACGTCAATTCGATTGCTGTTTGAAAAGAAATGCTAATGGTCCCAGGAAAAATATTTAAAAAAACTATTAGCGTTTTCTCAGACTTGAAAACTCATTATAAATTATACGCTATTTCTGCTTATTAATTATTATTACAGTTGCTATTATCTAAAAATTATCTTACTAAACTCTTTTCAAACTCACCTTTTGTTCGATGCAGCTCTTCATTTTCATGTCCCAATGTGTGAACTTTTCCTCCTGCTCTCCCTTTTTCTGCGAAAATTCTGGACAGTCGACCAGAGCTCGCAACACCAGAGCAATCGTCTCGCCCCTTATCAGAAGAGGACCACCTCTGTAGATGCCATTGGCTATTCCTAGAAAATTGGAGTTCAACTTATAACCGGCCAACCGAGTAAATAGTATTATTTGTTTCTCGATTCAAGTGGAAATGTACTGTTTAAACCGTACTTATTGAATTAATCGAAACATATTCAACAGATAGTTGAAAATTTTTCCATGAACTCATGGCGGCCACCAAAAAAAAGTATAAACTGAGTTTTTGCGTACACTTAAAGCACCTTGAATTTAATTTAAATGAATCTTTTATGGCTGATTCTTATTGATAAAGCTGAAAAAGTTCGAGAAAGCTGAATCAATAGATAATTTTCTTATTCCGGTGGTAGTTCTGAAAAATCAAATCCATTTTTATTAAAGACAGTCGCGTTTTTTAAGCTCTTTTTCAGCAAATGTATTTCAGCGTTTTTTTCAACAAATGTATTTCTAATGAGTTTTGAAAAAAATAAAGCTCAAACATCAGAAACTCAAAATTGAGCGTGAACAGCTCAAATCGTTTCTTGAAAAAACAAAAACAGAAAAAAAATCAATAGCTTGTTTCAGTATTTGAGCATAACCAACAGATAATTGGAAAAGAGTCAATGAACCCAAGTAAACTGAAAAAAATACTGACTTGTTTTTTTAAAAAAAATTCTCATCTTTCGAATTTCGAAGTGCAAAAAAAAGAGAGTTTTTTGGCTCCTTGAATTTCTAGAAGAATTTATGATAAAACCGAAAACCTAACACGTTTTGCACAAATTTTTGTTAGAGATTTCGTCTTTCTAAAATTTTGTTGAGCTAAGTAAGAAGCTTCTTCTGATTTAATTTCATTATTATTTAAGTAGGTTTATATAGGGTTATTTTTGATTAACTAAAAAAACCAAAATTACTTATTTTTGGGTTAAAATTTTGAATCCGATTTTCGCAAATACATTGCATCATAAAATCATAAAGAAATTCCAAGCAAATTTTGTTTTGTATACTTTTTTGTCTAATCTTAAACCAATAAAACGCGTTTAAAGTTTCAAATGTTGTTTGCTTTGTCCGGATAATTTAAAACAGCACTTTGAACTTCGATTACATTTTTCGTGATCTTCACACTTTTCGTACTCGTTTGTGGAGTTTACCTGGCCTTAACGTTCAACTACGTTCACCGACTCTTAAAAACTCCAAGGTTTGAGTTTGAAAAAAAATATATGTCCATAAAGTTCTTTGAATTTTAACAATAATTTATGATAGACACAATTTTGATAAAATTAACCCAAATTGAGAAAACTGGATCAATGGGATAATTTTTTTTTATTCTGCTGGGAAGTGTTAGAATAAAGTCCCGAAAATTGCTTTTATTTAGCAAATGAACTTGAAATGAACTCAAAAGTTGCACATACATCTAAACGTATTCATTTTAAGACTTTTCCTGAAAAAAAAACTTCTAAAAATTACCAAGATTTGAAAATTCTTATTAGGTTCACCGACTGTAAAAATTCATAAATATTCATACATTGGATTCTTAATATGGTGGCGATCCGTTGCTAGGTACCATAAGGGGGAGTCAGGGCAATGGTAAGTTTATTCACCCACCCATTACTACTTGCTCCCTCTGTTGTTCTATATCCTCGTAGTAGTCTGGGATCTCTTCGTACTCAGGTTCATCGTCATCTTCTTCGCCATCTCCATCCACCTAAATAGAGTGAGCTGATCAGAACAGTCAAACTTTCAATTTGATTATTTGCTTCTCTTTTGTTGACGAACAAAAAAAGTAGCCAAACAGACAGCCAGCAGAAATGTATGCAAGGAACCATCACGACATATATAAAAAAATTCACTACGGTTATCGCTTCCTAATGAAAAAAAAATGGAAACTCCAACTGAAATGGTAAATAATTGTTATCGCGTGTGCAAAAGGAAATTATCTTAAAAACCATCCGAAAATCTTGTTCAAAAACAATTTTGATAGAAAGGTTTCAAGATTTTTTTTTGCTTAACCAGAGCTTTTTTATACTTTCAGTTCTTGCATATTTATGTTTACTAACTTCTGCTAAGCTGAAATCTTTCAGAATTTTCAAAGCGAGAAAACTGCGTTAGAAACCAGGGTCATACAGTCTTTTACCATGTCGCATTTACATAACACCTGTTATTTTACGAGGCCAAACTGTGTACTTTATGAATTCCGCAGCAAGCCGATAACAGACTTCGCAACATTGGTAGTATTATTTTATCGTTCTTGCTGTTTTGGATTCCACAGGTAAATAAAATGTTAAATCACTCAAAACTGCTCCAAAAACAAGCGCATTTGCAAAACCCGCATCAAAATGTTTGGGAAACAGAACAGTTTGCGGAATCCACAAATAAATATGAATCCACTGCATTGAAAGTTTGGCGGAATCCAGTTACAGTTTGCGGAATCCGCCGACACTTTGCTGAATCTATTTACATCATTTTATTGTGCATAAGAATTTACGGAATCTACTTACATTTGGGGAATCTGCCTACAATGTTTGAGGGAATCTGCCTACCTTTTTCGAGCACATTCAGACAAAAACTACAAAAGTTTTTTTTCAATTAGTGTCGTTTATTGTACGTGGTGTAGTGAGAGATATTTTCAAACGCGTTTTGTGTTTAACTTATTGTACACAGTTTTTTTCTAATTTTTTAATTGTTTTTTAAATAATTTTTTAAGAAAACTCAGCTAAATGATGCTTCTAAACCACTTTTTCTTATGAAATCGTTTTTTTAGCTGAAGAAATCAATTATCACCAACACACAGCAAAGGGTTCAGAAAAAAGAAAAATAAAACGAAAAATTAAAAAATGTTCAAGAAAAATTTAAATAGTTGCTGTTTTTTTGCAAAAAATTGTTTTGCAGAAATTTTTATATCCAAGAAAGCACTGAATGAAACTTCCAAAGCCAGTTTTTGTTTTGAAAAAGAAGTTATTTTAGCGCAATTGGCTGAACTTCATAAGACGAATCTTCCTCGATTGGTTCACTTGAGCTAAGTTCAAATTTGAACAAAAACTCAGAAAATTCCAAAACATTTTTTGAACACCTAGACAACATGTTGAGGGTTTTTGAAAGTCAATCGAAATACGACTAGAAAATCTTCAATATGGTTTACTACTCGAGCCATTGCGACGATTATGTGAGATTTCTTGATAGCTGATTTTGCGTGGAAAACAAAAAATAAAAAAAGGAAAAAACTGAAACAACTGAAGATAAAAAATACTTCCCATTTTCAACGGTCGTAACAGTTGTTACCCCAATTACTGGAAAAAAATGTTTTCAAGAGCTTTTAAGTTTTTCAGCTTAATCAGTTTTAAATCCAAACGACAATATGTTCAATCAGCTTAAATGATAAACCTGACTCCAATAGAAGGAAGACTTTTAGCTAGAACGTCCGCTAAACCCTAAAACATGTTTTGAATTTCACGTTTTTGCAATTCTGGTCTTTTTTTGACTTGGAACAAATTTAAGTTTGTTTGCCAATTGAAGTAGGTTTTATCTGCGACTATTTAAGCAAGAAGGCTTCGTAAGATCACTCCTGTATGAAAAACTGAAGGTAAAAAAATATTTGACCTTCCAAATAGCAGCGACCTTTTCTACTGCTTCTTCCCCTACCTACTTGAATTGAAGCACTCCACTTTGGCCTAATAACCATTTCACGTAAACTGATATTCTTCTGTATCACCACTATGCTCAGCGTGTTTCTCCGAAAAACTTCTAATCTGTTGTCTACAGGAAACGCATTTTGCAATTTTAATGCTCTTAGTGCATTAGAACTAGCCAAAATTTGTGAACCAAAGCGCCACCGATCAGCAATAGTACATTTAGACCAGGGACAGATTTATCCTCGTCCCCTCGCCAACCAAATGGCCCCTCTTTGGTATTATTTTGTGATACTTATTTCCGGCAGACCAACCTAAAAAAATTTCTTAAGGCTCCTTTGGCGCCAATAAATACTAATTGTGAGGCGAGGAAGGGCATCAAAACACGCAATTTTTTGTTTGTAAAAAACTCAAAATGTGCCTGAAAATTGGGTCAAAACAGGGACTTTAAAGTGATTTAGGAGAGCGCAGAAATTCAATTTGATCGACCTAAAAAAAGGTTGACAAAACTTTCAAAACTTTAAATGAGAAAATCTTAGATCCTCTCTGGATTTAGAGATCACAACAATTTACTTTTATTATCAAAAAAGACGTCAATTGTTGTGATCTCTAAATCCGGAGCGGATCTAGGATTTTCTCTTTAAAAGTTTTGATAATACAGAATTTAGGAAACAATGCAAGGGCTAAATCAAGATCCCAGTATTAACAGTTTTAGCTAATGTCAAACTTTTCCGAGTTTAAGCAGCAGTTGCAAGCACAGTTGATTCGCCAAGTACAGAAATCGATCTCAGTAATTTTTTCATAGAAAAGATATTTCAGTCGGTTTTTCTTTTAAACTTTTGTAATCCATCGTTATCAGGAAGAAAAGATATTTCAGTCAGTTTTTCTTTCAAACTTTTGTAATCCATCGTTATCAGGTCGAAGCCAAGCTGACAATTTGTTTACCAGAAAAGACACTCGGTACCAGAAACTGTTTTTGCTCTTTTGTTTTTTTTCAGCTCTGGGGTATGGAACGCATTTCTGGATACTTGTCGGGTCTCAAAGGAATTTTTAGTGCAGGGCATAGCGTGAGTGTAATTATAACAATCGTAGTTGTTGTTAGCAACTTTGTGGAAGAAAAGGAGATCGTCTGTTTTTCGTGATATAGTGAAAAAGGTAACAATTGCGTTTTTTCAAGTCGTTGCTTATAAGGCATAACCGAGGAGTTTAGAATCCATCTGGTAGCTTTCTTTTGTGCATCTTCAATGCCTCTTAGTTCTGTTTTGTTTGGCTTCCACACCTCAGAACCGTATGATATAATTGGTACAAGGTAGCTACATTTTGAGTTTGGTTTTGATGATAATGATGACAATTTGGACAAATTTTGCCTAATTTGGAAAGTTGCTCATTTGGCTTTTGACATTCGTTGTTCACAGTTGGCAGACCAGGTGAAGTTTTCGATACTATGATTCCTAGATACTTTTCGGTATCAGACTCTGAAAGCTTGTATTCACCTATATAATTTTTATGCGATGTAAAATCTGATTTGATGATCAAGTTATGACATTTCTATAGATTTAAACTGTTGTTATTACAGCACCATCTACTGAGATGATTCATGTCTGCTTGTAGATCTTTAGAATTTATTGATAAGAGTTTGTAGTCATCCACATAGCCAAAGCAACTGGATTTCAAGTCACTCGGTAGATCAGTTAGGAAGCAAAGAAAAAGTAACGGGCCCAATATAGAATCTAGTGGAACTCTGCTTGTATTATCAAGCCAATCACTGAGCTGACTTCTGATTCGAACTCTCTGCTTGCGATTCTGCAGATAGCTTTTAACTAACTCTATCAGGTTACCACCAATCCCAAAAAGTGATCATTTTCTGACCAGAAAATTATGTTCGACCTTTTTATTCGACTGTGTAAAAGACAGTAATTTGGTTTAAGTTTCTATATTGGACTGTTTGTGATAGTATTGAATTTTCTGTTGTTTTAAAATTTTTTAATGATAATTGTGCAGGCGGTATTTTTCTTGTTTTTCATCATTGCTTGCCAGAATTTCCCGAAAGTCTGTTATACTTAGTTATTATACTTGAAAATTACTTAAAATTCCGTAGGGTGGTCTCAGATTTCTGTCTTAGAAATTAAAACCAATTCTTTTCAATATTTTTTTCTCAACTCAATGGTATTTCATCCTATGGGGTGATTCCTCGAGGGCTTATGGTCTGCGAAATTTTCCCCTGTATTTATGTTTTATGACCTCTGTTTGAGGGCTGAGAAACTAACTTTTTGAGGTTTGAGAAAAATTGTACGTAATTGTCGGTTGCTCTGTTTTTCATCTGTTATTTTTGATTTCCTCTATTTGCGCCAACAAAATTTTTTCAAGAAAGCCTAAACCTAAAATTTTTTTTAATGTTCGTGTGATAATTAAGTATGATTTAAAAAACTACAGTCGCCGCATTCAGAAAAAAATATTTTTTTATAACCTTTATCAGGATAAAAATCTTGTCTTTTAGTTTCAGTTTTAGCAAGTCAATTGCTCTCGCATATAAAAGCGCAATTTTTTGAGGGCCAAGAAACAATGCAGGTAATTTAGTTTGTTGGTTGTTTCGTTCTCCTTGTTACCTATCATGTCTTTTGTTTCAAGTTGCGCAAAAAAAATTTGTTAAAAAAAGCTTAAAAATTTGTTGTGACAATTGATTTTTGAATAAAAGAAAACCTGTTAGATAAGAAAAACGTATTTGATTAGCCTTTATCGGGTAAAAAACTCATGTTGCTCCTTTTCTTGCAAAACACGAAAATCTTACTTTTGATATGTAACTTTTTAGTAATTAACAGACCGCAAAATCTTAAAAGTAAGAACAGAGCCAACAAAGAAAGGAAGACTGTCAATAAGCTCAACTAGAAACAGAACAAGGATTGACTTCTTTTGAAACTTTTGAATTTCAAAGAAAATAATATATCCCGTTGAAGCCTGTAAATTTCAAGAATATTTTTTGAACAGCAATTTGTCATCAAATTATATCGATTAGAGAAAACTAATAGAAAGCCCAAAACTGTGATACGCTGAGAAATTCTAATATTAATTTCCGCTTTTT